AACATAGTTTTAATGACTTACTTGCAAACAATCGATACCACTGTTGAAACTGGAATTCTTTTGGCAAGAGAAGAAGAGAGGAAGCCCAATCTTTCGAAGAAGACTACTGCTGGTTCTTCTGAGAAACAAGTCAAGGAATCTAAATCTATGAAGATTCCGAAGACGTTACCGATTATAGAAGCAGAGCCAACAAAACCCAAAGTTTCAATTGCTGTTACACCATCAACTCAAAAAGAAATCATTCCTTCGAATACTAGTGTTTTTCACTGAATAAAAATGAAATCCAAATATAAGAGCCGATCTCCACTCACGAATGTTGTCCGAAAACCACAGGTTACTCATCAAGGACTTCTATTTTGTGAGATTCCTGCACCTGCTTCACCATCTTCAACGAAACAAAGGGCAACTGATATGGCCAAACATATTTCTAAGAAGAAGAAGAAGAAGAAAAGAAAAATGATCATCTGTTCTGAGTCTACTGCTGATGAAGATGAAACAATTCCAGAAACTCCAAAAGCCGATCTTCACAAAGAATCTTCTACTCCTGCACCAACAGATGTTATACCACCTGAAGAGTCGGTTGCCAAGTCAGTTTTTGAGGAGGCACGAACTTCTGACATTCTTGTAAACGTATCTAATTCGGATGCAAATGTTATCATGGGTGAGGATGCTTCGCATAAAGCTGACCAAGGTAAAACTTCGGATGTTACCTCAGAAATTGTTGTTTCTTTTCCTCCACAACTCACACCTATCATTCCTACTACTTCTACCACTGATTCTCCTACCTTCGAAAACATTATCAAACAACCAATTACATCTCTTTTTTCTTCATAATCCACTTATCCACCCACCACAACTTCACCGATTCAAGATTCTATTTTTATGGAAACTGAGCATGAATCAGAAGGTTTTAGAGGGACGTTTGAAAATTTGGAGTTTGATGAAGAAGAAACTGATTTCCCAGATCACATGCTAATGACCATGAAGCAGTTCAAGATATTGAATACAAAGTTCAATTCTATTCTTCAATCACAGGCAGATCTTGGGGGAGGTAATTCAGTAACCAGTTTAGAAGTTGATGGTCTGTTGGTATTATGAGTTGACCAGAAGGTCTTATCTGCTATGTATGAGATTGTGTGCCATGTATGAGACTATGTGCTATGTCATGTATGTATGATATATAACTGTATAGACCGGACCGGAGGGTCCAACGAGACAAACCGGGCAAGAGGGCCCAACGAGCTATGACAGGACCAGAGGGTTCAACAAGCTACAAGACTGGAGGGTCCCGCTGAGACACATTGATCGGAGGGTCGTACAGTATCCTCGAGTGGCGTATGTGTTGTATGTTGTATTTTGGGGAACTCACTAAGCATTTATGCTTACAATTGTTGTGTTATGTGTTTCAGGTACTAGCGAGGATCGTGGAAAGGCGCCGGCGTGACCCGTACACATAGAGAGATTTGATTTGTGATCTTGGGATATGTTTGAATTGATAACTAATGTGGAATATTTTCTTTTAAGATTATTTTTATATAAATTTGGTGGTTGAAAAATGAAAAAAATTTGTTTTGAAAATCTCCTCGTTACAAGTTGGTATCAGAGCCTTGGTTCGAGGGACTCGGATGCACCTTCGGGTGCATCTGAACTCAAACTGAGGATTTGAGAAATTTTCAACAAATAAGAACTTATTTTGTTTTTCTAAAAAGAGCAATAAGTTTTGAAACAACCAGAGCGGAGCAGTGTGTACGTTCAGCTAGCGTCCGAACGGTGAATCCCAAAATACCCTTACATTATGTGTTATGAGATATGATATGTTATGTTATGCATGCTAGAGTAGACTAGTTACTTATATTAGGACTAGAGTGGCATGATTTGTGATGCCTTAGCCTAGAAGATTACTGCTGCTATGAGATGCCTTGAGAGTGAGTAGGTAGCAGTTAGGAGCTCATGAGAGGTCTATCGGAGGGTAGCCAATGCATAGTGAGAGTAGAGTACTTGCGATCCGGGATCCAAGGAGAAGGACTTGGGGTGAATGCTGATGCGGTGTGGTCAGTAGTATAGGGCCCGTACTACTGAAGACGCCGGATCAGTGAGCAGTCCAAATAAGAATCCTTTGGATATTGGAGGACGAGTAGGGCTGCTTTATCGAGTGCGATTATGCTCATCGAGTCTCTCATATATTTTTATGTTGTATTTTAGAGACATCATGGTTGGGACACGACACACACCAGGGAGCAGTGGTGTCAGCGACGAGGAGATCTGTCGATTGATTCATGAGGAGGTGGTTGCTGCCATCCGGGTCGAGATTCTAGAGATGTTCGGGGACATCAAGACGACATTAATTGAGACCTTTGATGAGCGATATGCAGCAGTGACTGAGGCTGAGGCTGTGGCTACTACAGCTATTGTTGCTGCTAGACCTCAGGGAGGTGATTCGTTGTTGTTTCGGGAGTTCAGCAACACGAAACCACCAGAGTTCGATGGGACGCAGGACCTGATTGTTGTGATGAGGTGGATCTCTAATATCGAGGGATGTTTCTACACGTGTTCTTGTCCAGAGCACTTGAGGGTACAATTCGCTTTGAACCAGATTCGCTTAGGAGTGAAGGATTGGTGGAAGTTCGTGACGGCGAGCTTCACTCTAGCAGAGATTTCTGAGGTGACCTGGGAAAAGTTCACCACCATGTTTTGAGACGAGTACGTTCCCCCCTGTGGAAAAGGAATGACTGGCTCAGGAGTTTTTGACCCTCAAGCAGGGTACTGATTCAGTTACTGTGATTACGTGGAAGATTCATAAGAGGGCGATGTTTTGCCCTGAGCAGGTGTCTATCGAGCAGGCTCGCATGAGCCGATATCTAAGTGTTCTGAGGAGAGATATTCGGGAGTTCGTGGTGAACTCGACTTACCGGAAATTTGCTGAGATCCAGGAAAATGCCCGGAAGATGGAGATTGAGTTGGAGACTCAGTCCAGGGAGGAGGCCGAGTCACAGAGGATGGACCAGCGACCGACTCAATCTCAATCGGCAGCCAAGCGGGCCAGGCTCGCTGATTCGAGATCTGGGAGCACGAAGGGCCTCACTTGTGGGAAGTGCGGAAAGAGTCACGAGGGGTCGTGCAGCGCAGGAGTATGCTACAAGTGCGGGAAGGAGGGGCATATCGCGAGTGATTTCTCCAACGGATTTTCTGTTTGCTTTCATTGCAACCATACCGGCCATCGGAAGGCCGAGTGCCCTCAGCTACATCAGGGATCAGCGTAGGGATCTGCGCCTGCTGCTAGGGCTACCGAGGTTCAGCCAGTGAAGGCCGAGGCACCAGAGGCTCATGGGAGAGCCTTCCAGTTGACAGCGGAGGAGGTCCGCGCAGCACCCGATGTTGTGGCCGGTACCTTTCTTGTGAATTATGTACCTACCTTAGTGCTATTTGACTCGGGAGCGAGTCGATCTTTTGTGACGTTAGCTTTTAGTCGTCATATCAGTATTTGTCGAGAGGCTTTGAGTCGACCTCTGTGAGTTTCTATAGCTAACGACGGAGCAGTGTATGCCACGGAGGTGATTCGAGGATGTAGACTTGAGATCTTCGGTGTGGGGTTCCCGATCGACCTAGTCCCAATTGCGATAGGGGACGTATGTGTCATAGTGGGCATGGATTGGTTGAGCCAATTTGGAGCTATTATAGACTGCGAGCATCAGCTGGTGACGATTCGAGACCCTAGTGGGGGAGTACTTACGGTGTATGGTGAGGGTACCCGTTCTGAGTCAGCATTTTGTTCGGCTGTTAGGGCGAGGCAGAGTTTATAGCAGGGCTATAGGGGATTTGTGTCCTATGTGATGGACACGCGAGTGGCCGCTAGGAGGCCAAGTTCTATTGATGAGGTCCCGATTATGCGGGAGTTCCCTGATGTTTTCCCTGAGGAGTTTCCGGGTGTGCCTCCCGAGAGACAGGTGGAGTTTCGTATCGATTTGGTGACAGGGGTGGCACATATTGTTGGATTAGTGGTGACAGGGGTGGCACATATTGTTGGATTAGTGTCTAAGTCCATAACTATTTTGGTATGCACTTGACCTGATGGTGCATGGTCCTTTTGGTTTGCCTTCACCAAAGCAACTTGATAGGATGAATTATGGAGAGAAAGGATTAAATATGATTTATTAATATATTATGAGAATAACATATTAAAGGAGAAATCATATTGTTTAATTAATATTAGTTAATAATTAATTGGTAATTAGTTTTGTGACTAAAAGAGATTAATTAAACTTAAGGGACTGGAATCGTAATTATAAGATAATTATAATTTGGGCCATGGATTGCCTTATATGATAAGGTGGATGAATTCTATGGGGAAGCCCATATGAAATCGTCCAAGGCCTTAAAGAAAAGGCTCCATGGGTTGCTTAGGGCTTAAGCATCTAAATTAGGGTTTCCTTGTTAGATAACCCCAATAGCCTTACTATATATAAGACCCTTATGACCCAAAAACGTGGCTAATGATCTTTCTAGGGTTTCACATGTTTTTGGGCAGCCTTCATCCTCTCTCCTCTTCATCCTCTTGCTTATGGTGTTTGTGAACCATTAGAGGAGTGACACTTGTGACTCTAAGCCTTCCAAAGTCAATACAAGGAGATTTGGGATTGTTATTACTACATAACAATCAAGTAACATTATAAACCTATTATTATGTTAATATGATTATTTGTATGTTAGAATTAGGGTTTATAGTCTTGGATAACTTGCATGTACAATAGAGAAACCTAGATCCAAGCTTTAGGGTTTGTATCAGCACATAGGATGTCTTATGACCAAAACCCATTAGTGGTATCAGAGACTAGCTTGGTTTCAATTGTATTGATGCATTGTATAACTGAAAAAAAAATCGTTTTTTGGTGTTTTGGAGGCTGGACTCGCCGAGTCCATGCAGACTCGACAAGTCCAAGCCTGACTCGACGAGTCAGCTCGTCAGAAGGAGGAATCTCGGGTTTTCTTGCTGTTTTTGCATTAGGATAGTTACCTTATCATGTTAGATCAATATTAATCCAATTATATGATATATTTGACTATATTTTAGATCTAAATGAAGATATTTATCAATTTATAAGATAATTGTTTCCTTATAAGATAATTGATTAATTATTTTGAGTAAATTGATAAATTGTTTTGCAAGAAATCATTAAATAAATCAAATATGGATAATTATGTGATTAAATGTTTATTTAAAATTATTTGTTATTTGTTATTTTATCCTTGTTGTTATGAAAAGTTTTATATTTTCCCCTTTAGGTTTTATAGTTTAAATTTTAACCCAAAAGTTTTGTTGTTTTGAAATTTAAATAGTTAAAACCCTAATGTTTTGAAAAAAGGTTTCAAAACTTGCCCTCAAGTTTTGGAATTTAAATTTTGATTAATAGTTTAATTGTGATGTATATTTAAATTCTAAACCCTAATGTTTTGAAATGTTTCAAAACTTGCCCTCAAGTTTTTGAATTTAAAAGTTGATTAATAGTTTAATTAGGAATGTTAAATTCTAAAACCCTAGTAATGTTTTGAAAAGTTCAAATCACACCCTTATGGTCTTATTAATTAATTAAGGTGTATAATTAAAAGAAGTTGAATAAATCCATAAAAGTTTAGGTTAACCGTTTAATTGAATTAAAAGTGTAATTGTTAAAGTTAACCACATAGTATTTTAAAAGTGTAAAATACACCCTATACTATATATAACATTAAAAGTCTAACATTATATATATGTATGAGTAAAAGTCAGTCTTACCGTTAGTAGGCCTCATTCACGAAGCTAGTCTATAAGGGGTGTTTAAGGAAATTGCCTATAAAATGGTGATTGAATGGGTATCCACTCTTACCCACCACACTCTTGACTAGTGGAGGTCGTTAGCCGAACGGGTAGGATAGGACGAAACCTTCCATTATAAGTATAATGAAATACAAAGTAACTAAATGTTTTTCAAATTCCCAATCTTAGTTACTTAGGCAAAAGTGAATTAATGCAATTCCATGAAATTACACTTTGTGCACTTGCGAAGACGTTAGTGGAGCGTGTGTGGTTTACCGGCACACTAAATGGTTCTAAGCAAAGGTAGCAAAGGGTGACTCAATCGATTAACTAACTTGAATTCGTTTTCTCCCATTTTGTAGATGTCAAAGTTCGACAACTATGGTCTTCCCAAATCCCGTGGAACAAGCATTCCACATGAAGATGGTATTCGACGATTCGATCGAGGAACAAGAAATCATGCTTCACTTCCTCCACCTCCTCCAATTGTTCTCCCTAACCCACAAGATTGTAAAATTGAAAGGTTCAATATCAGTCAAGCCCTTTTGGCAAGTAAACATAAGGAAGGAAAGTCGGTGTGTGCACACGTCTTAGGGATGAAGTCACACATTGATAGGTTAAGAGATGGCTGTTGATTGGGTTCTTCAGTCACT